AGAACCACGCCATCTCCTCAGTGGCGAAGTACGCGATCGACGTATTCTTCGTAGATCACTAAATACGTGGTGTCGCTGTAGACCCGTTGGCGATTCTCCACCAAACTCTGCAGCGCTGGCAGAGGCGCCATATTCATTGTACATAGAAGTCTAGTCATGGGGAGGGCTGCGGTGAACCAGGTAGTTCCAGGCCGAGTCAGGAAGTAGGGCTGAAGTCTTGTACTCCAATCAGTGTCTGTAGTCCGTGTAGCATAGAAGCTGGACAGGAGAAGAGGAGGTGATCCACAGTCTGTGACTCTTCCCCGGCAGTGAATATGCGGATATGTCGAGGTTCTTAAGTCTAAAAAACTCGTTGTAGACCCTTAAATTATCCCGAATTACACCCGAAATTTACAAGTCACAAAAAATGACATCCGTATACGTCATCTATTATGGTTTTTTTTTTCGGTTAACTGCATGTTCATTGTTGATAGGAGTAATTCTTTGGTGTTTTGCGCTAACAACAACTAAGTCCATTGTTGACAGCAGTAATTTCTTCATTCTTTTCGTTTCTACTCGTAGTTTTTGTTTTTTCATCTTTAACTATGCTTATCCGTTTTGTCCTTCCCTTATTTTTATTCTTGTTCGATTCTATTGTTTCTATCTACCTCATCTTCTTTATCTATTTCTTGCAGGAATGGAAATCTAATGCTGCACATGACTGGTACAGAGCAGGAGGGACAAGCACTGGTTCTGTCCTCCCAAGAGAACAATAGTCTTTGATTTCCAGACTTAAGTCTGGTCATCTACGGACAATGACTTTCCAGAATGGTTGCAGGGTTTTCCCACTATGTACTAAGTGCAATTCTTAGCCTGCAACCCCAAGACATATTATTGACTCTATTGACTCATCCATTGATGAGATCTACTCTTTCCCGGCAGACATCATCAAAGTCTCAAGCTTTACAAGCTTGATACCTTAGTGTGATTGAGTGGAAATAAGAAAAAAGAAGAAGAAGATCTATTTCTTTCGCTATCTTGTTATCTGTTTCTATCTGTCCACTTACCATTTATTGATAATTCTCTTCTTCCGAGCTTTCGTCATTTGATTGTCGTTCTTATCTTTATTACATACACATTGCGAGTTTTCAAGTTGAGTGTATGCTATATCCCTCGAGCTGTTTGAGCAAGGCTGGGTGAGTCGAGTTTTGTGTAAAAGCTAACGCTCATAAATACAGTAGGACAAAGGGTATGGTGACCGATGCCGATTTATGCGAAGCACGTTTCCATCAGGGTTTGTTCCTCCCACATTACAATCACGCTGTTTTTTCAACTTCCATTATCATTTTCGACGATAAAAACATGGCGAAGGAAGACGAGTTTCTTTTATTGGTGCATTAGAGCAAGCTTTCGGGCAAAAGCCCTTCGACAGGCAAGATAAAAACGACACTATGAACGATGATTCGAACATCGTTCATAGTGTCGTTTTTATCTTGCCTGTCGAAGGGCTTTTGCCCGAAAGCTTGCTCTAATGCACCAATAAAAGAAACTCGTCTTCCTTCGCCATGTTTTTTATCGTCTAAATTCAATCCAGGAAGAATTCTTTATCTCTATTATCATTTTCACTTTTATTTTTCATCCATGCAATTCCTGTATCTAATCACGCCTAATCATTGTGTCTCTAGTTTAACCCAGTTATTATTTTTTTTTCTTTCTTCCACCACCTAATATTTCAACATATTCCTCTTCTTCTTTCTTTTCTCCACTTAATCATATTGTGGCGAAGAAATCTATATATATAAAAATGAATGTATGTGTGTGTGTGTCTGTCCTTTATGCCTGACCGAAACACTCATTGGAACGCCATGAAACTTTGGGGAGTTATTTATTATAGCACTGGGAAGGTTTCTAGCAAATAAAATTTTTGAAATAACTTTTCGCCTAAAAATAATCAAGATAAATATTCTAATTTATCTGTTGTAATTCAACAATCTGCTCTAAATATTATCATGATTACGATGATTTTGTAATGTAGAAAATTAGGAAAGACAAAATTCAGGATGACACGGCAATTTATTTGAAACAAGAATAATGATACAATTCCAAGGCAAGATACTATTCCTTTAACTTCCAATTACCGAGGGAACCAATTAATATTGATTTTATTCAACTTATCGAGTATTTTTCAAGGGACCGGGAAAAAATGTTCACTTTATCGAGAGATTCAAATTTACGAGTTTCAAATTATCAAAATTATATATTATATATTAATTGGTTCCCTCGGTAATTGGAAGTTAAATGAATAGTATCTTTGCCTTGGAATTGTATCATTTTTCTTGTCTCAAATAAATTGCCGCGATATCCTGAATTTTGTCTTTCCTAATTTTCTACATTACAAAATCATCATTTTATCTATTCTCCCAATATATATGTTGTAGATAAATGATAAAACTAACTTTGACTTTTGCGCAATTAATAGGTAGAAAATCTTACTTTTGATAAATAATCTTTAAGATAATAAACTTAGTGATAAGAAAATTAATAGATAAAAAAAACTTGTTATCATCGTCGCAATGGGGGCGCTGCTTTCGAGTTAAATCTACAAATCTGCAAATAACTCTAAGGATATTCAAGATATTCAAGAAATTATATTTCAAAAACCTTCCCGGGGATATAACTAATAATATTCCAAAATTTCACGGCGATTGGATGTATGGTTTTTGAATCTATAGAGTACAGACAGACATTTAATTATATATATATAGATTATTCAATGAAAATATTTAAAACATATTTATTACTCTATATTTGTAATGGGATGGGAATCGAACCCACAGTGTTCCGCTTACCGGGCAGAGTGTGTTACGTCATTGTAACGTATGTGTCCCCCGGGTAGATGTCGCGAAGGTACTGTCATCTCCCGTTTCTTCCCATTCTATCGACCGCAGTTCGATATCCCCGTGTGCCGCCGGCTTTCCAATTATATGAACCCTCTTGAACTGTTCGGATAATTGGCGAACATGACCGTCTTCTTCTTCTTTCTTATCTCCACTCAATCATATCAAGATATCAAGCTTGTAAAGCTTGTTGATGTGTCTGCTAGGAATGAGTCTCTTCTTCTTTCTTATCTCCACTCAATCATATCAAGATATCAAGCTTGTAAAGCTTGTTGATGTGTCTGCTAGGAATGAGTCTCTTCTTCTTTCTTATCTCCACTCAATCATATCAAGATATCAAGCTTGTAAAGCTTGTTGATGGTGTCTGATAGGGATGAGTCTCTTCTTCTTTCTTATCTCCACTTAATCATATCAAGATATCAAGCTTGTAAAGCTTGTTGATGGTGTTTGCTGGGGATGGGTCTCTTCTTCTTTCTTATCTCCACTCATCATATCAAGATATCAAGCTTGCAAAGCTTGTTGATGGTGTCTGATGGGGATGAGTCTCTTCTTCTTTCTTATCTCCACTCAATCATATCTAGATATCAAGCTTGTAAAGCTTGTTGATGGTGTCTGCTGGGGATGAGTCTCTTCTTCTTTCTTATCTCCACTCAATCATATCTAGATATCAAGCTTGTAGAGCTTGTTGATAAGGTCTGCTGGGGATGAATCTCTTCTTCTTTCTTATCTCCACTCAATCATATCAAGATATCAAGCTTGTAAAGCTTGTTGATGGTGTCTGATGGGGATGAGTCTCTTCTTCTTTCTTATCTCCACTCAATCATATCTAGATATCAAGCTTGTAAAGCTTGTTGATGGTGTCTGCTGGGGATGAGTCTCTTCTTCTTTCTTATCTCCACTCAATCATATTAAGGTATCAAGCTTGTAGAGCTTGTTGATAAGGTCTGCTGGGGATGAGTCTCTTCTTCTTTCTTATCTCCACTCAATCATGTCAGGGTATCAAGCTTGTAGAGTTTGTTGATGGTGTCTGCTGGGGATGCTGAGTAGAGCTAATCAATGGATGAGTCAATACAGTCAATGATATGGTTATGGGTTGTAAAATGACCGTTATTGGATTGATTGTTGTTCGACGATGACGAGATAGACTGTTCTTAGAACGCAAAATTTATTTGGATAAAAAAAAAATGTCAGATGTGGGGTTCGAACCCACGCCCTCATTAGAGGACCAGAACTTAAGTCTGGCGCCTTAGACCACTCGGCCAATCTGACATCGATCAGACTTACAACGATTATGTATATATATGTGTGTTGGAAATTTTGCCGGGAAGAAATTGATCTTTAAGAGCATAGGGTGCCTCTTCCGTCAATTTTAACGTCAAAAAGTTAGACGCCATCTAGTTTCGATGTTAAATTTGACGGGAGAGGCGCCCATGCTCTTATATGTGCGTGTGTGTGTGGAAAAAGTAAGGGAGGGGTGAAGAGAAAAAGGTTGGGTGTGGTGATATAATAATTCTCACATGATCATTTTGGATGGTAGAACGCCATCTAGTTGAATATCAATAAACTAAACGTTGATTTTAAGGTTATTCCATAATATTTGAACAACCTGCTTTCTTGATAAAGTAATGAATTCTTTTTCACTAGACTCTTTCGAATTCGGATAATTGGATATTTAGAATAATAAAAATATTCTACGGAAACAACACAGCCTTTATTACAGACACGTGTCCCATACAGGAATTTTTTTCAAAAATTAAAAATGGCCCCTTATATTCTTCACAATTTTTAATTCTCTTGGTTTCTTTGTTGATATTTCAAAAGTCGCATTCAAACATTTTTCTATAAATTTTAATACAATATAATGCGGCTTATGATTGTAGAACGAAGTTTGACAATTATACCGCAAATGTTTCCTTTGAACGAAAATACAAAATTTATTTTAAGGAGAAATAACGATTATTTCTAACCTTAGGGATGAAGTATGATAGGATGAATTGTGAAGAGTAATGATAAACGGAAAAATAAACATTTGCGGTATAGTTGTCAAACTTCGTTATACAATCATAAGCCACATTATATTGTATTATAAATTACTTTATATATTATTTACGAACGGAAAAATATGTCCAGGGTACTTAGTGGACATGGCATCTGCCCGGTAAGCGGAACACTGTGGGTTCGATTCCCATCCCTGGACACTTATATTTTTCCGTTTATCAATAATCGTCATTTCTCCTTAAATAAATTTCGATTTTCCGTTCAAAAGAAACATTTGCGGTATAGTTGTCAAACTTCGTTCTACAAATTTTTCTATAAGGTAACGAGACTTGATCGCCTACGTCATCCAGGACAAGGTGATCTAACTGTAAAACTGAGATGGTAATTACAGTGTTGACGAGAATTGATACGTGAGCCAGATTTAGGTCAGAAAATTTGACAGGTGGTGGCATCATGCAAAGCTGGTGCGACCAGAGAAATGATTCACCACACGAATACGCCTCCTCTCTTAACCCGCGCTATCTATCCTCTTTTACCTAAATAGAACATTGTCGAAAACCATGCTATATCCTACTATTGGTTTATAGAGTCAAGGTTTGTGGTAAAGGAAAATCTATAGGTTTTTCAATTTGAAACATTATTATCTTCCTTGCATCATATCATTTGAGAGAGAGAGAGAGAGAGAGAGAGAGACAAGTAAAAGTTTATTTTATGAATTTTTGAATTACACCCATGGACAAAACTTAAGGAAGTGGAAAGTCTACTGGAAAGTTTTTTTTTGAGACAGGTGCAATTTTGTACACACTTGGTTATCTCGTGTATCTTTAATAAAGGTCACTGTAATATCTTTCAGAGTTATTGTCTGAATCCCGATATACACTCATAGACAAAATTTAAGGAAGTTGTACCTTTTAGCATGTATATCGGGATTCAGACAATAACTCTGAAAGATACACTCATGGACAAAACTTAAGGAAGATGTACCTTTTAACATGTATATCGGGATTCAGACAATAACTCTGAAAGATACACTCATGGACAAAACTTAAGTAAGTTGTACCTTTTAGCATGTATATCGGGATTCAGACAATAACTCTGAAAGATACACTCATGGACAAAACTTAAGGAAGTTGTACCTTTTAGCATTTATATCGGGATTCAGACAATATCTCTGAAAGATACACTCATGGACAAAACTTAAGGAAGTTGTACCTTTTAGCATTTATATCGGGATTCAGACAATATCTCTGAAAGATACACTCATGGACAAAACTTAAAGAAGTTGTACCTTTTAGCATTTATATCGGGATTCAGACAATAACTCTGAAAGATACACTCATGGACAAAACTTAAGGACGTTGTACCTTTTAGCATTTATATCGGGATTCAGACAATAACTCTGAAAGATACACTCATGGACAAAACTTAAGGAAGTTGTACCTTTTAGCATGTATATCGGGATTCAGACAATAACTCTGAAAGATACACTCATGGACAAAACTTAAGGAAGTTGTACCTTTTAGCATTTATATCGGGATTCAGACAATAACTCTGAAAGATACACTCATGGACAAAACTTAAGGAAGTTGTACCTTTTAGCATTTATATCGGGATTCAGACAATAACTCTGAAAGATACACTCAAGGACAAAACTTAAGGAAGTTGTACCTTTTAGCATTTATATCGGGATTCAGACAATAACTCTGAAAGATACACTCAGGGACAAAACTTAAGGAAGTTGTACCTTTTAGCATTTATATCGGGATTCAGACAATAACTCTGAAAGATACACTCATGGACAAAACTTAAGGAAGTTGTACCTTTTAGCATGTATATCGGGATTCAGACAATAACTCTGAAAGATACACTCATGGACAAAACTTAAGGAAGTTGTACCTTTTAGCATGTATATCGGGATTCAGACAATAACTCTGAAAGATACACTCATGGACAAAACTTAAGGAAGTTGTACCTTTTAGCATGTATATCGGGATTCAGACAATAACTCTGAAAGATACACTCATGGATAAAACTTAAGGAAGTTGTACCTTTTAGCATGTATATCGGGATTCAGACAATAACTCTGAAAGATACACTCATAGATAAAACTTAAGGAAGTTGTACCTTTTAGCATGTATATCGGGATTCAGACAATAACTCTGAAAGATACACTCATGGACAAAACTTAAGGAAGTTGTACCTTTTAGCATGTATATCGGGATTCAGACAATAACTCTGAAAGATACACTCATGGACAAAACTTAAGGAAGTTGTACCTTTTAGCATTTATATCGGGATTCAGACAATAACTCTGAAAGATACACTCAAGGACAAAACTTAAGGAAGTTGTACCTTTTAGCATTTATATCGGGATTCAGACAATAACTCTGAAAGATACACTCAGGGACAAAACTTAAGGAAGTTGTAACTTTTAGCATGTATATCAGGACAATAACTCTGAAAGATACACTCATGGACAAAACTTAAGGAAGTTGTACCTTTTAGCATGTATATCATGATTCAGACAATAACTCTGAAAGATACACTCATGGACAAAACTTAAGGAAGTTGTACCTTTTAGCATGTATATCGGGATTCAGACAATAACTCTGAAAGATACACTCATGGACAAAACTTAAGGAAGTTGTACCTTTTAGCATGTATATCATGATTCAGACAATAACTCTGAAAGATACACTCATGGACAAAACTTAAGGAAGTTTTACCTTTTAGCATGTATATCGGGATTCAGACAATAACTCTGAAAGATACACTCATGGACAAAACTTAAGGAAGTTGTACCTTTTAGCATGTATATCGGGATTCAGACAATAACTCTGAAAGATACACTCATGGACAAAACTTAAGGAAGTTGTACCTTTTAGCATGTATATCGGGATTCAGACAATAACTCTGAAAGATACACTCATGGACAAAACTTAAGGAAGTTGTACCTTTTAGCATGTATATCGGGATTCAGACAATAACTCTGAAAGATACACTCATGGACAAAACTTAAGGAAGTTGTACCTTTTAGCATGTATATCGGGATTCAGCCAATAACTCTGAAAGATATTACAGTGACCTTAAAATATGAAACTTCCTTAAGTTTTGTCCATGAGTGTGCTACGATAGCATCATCTGTAAGCTACGTGAGTACGATATGTAAATGAAGCAATCAAAGAACATATCTGTCATTAGCTATTTTCATTTATTATCCAAATCGGGTTTTCTCTATTTGCTTCCGCGGAAGATAATAATCACCATTTATGGATCTTCGTTATATAACAAAAGACACGAGCACATT